CACCTGTACATGAAATGCGGATCAGGTTTTGATCGAACATTCCCAGATGTGATGATGACTATCGTATTTGGATGGGGCAAAACGAACATCCAGCAGGACTTCCGGAAGATCGAGATGAACAGTATGGATGATGAACAGCTGGAATTCATGCGGAACCATCCAAACAAGGCCATTTTCGATTACCAGGTCTCATCCGCAGAGCGCTACAAGCACGTGAACAATGAAATGTTCATGAACGGCTCGCAGGACTCCGACTCCCACAGTCCTCTCATGGTTTACATCCGCAGCAAATCTGCAACCAGTAAACGCAGCTCTGAGAGATACCAGGATTACGTGAAGAAGAGACAATCCTGGACCACGCAGGAGTACAAGGACTACAACAAGCAGTGGGGATATCAGAAGCAGTGGAAGGCCTGGAATGATTATGGAGACCATGGCAGTCAATCCGACAGCAGCCGCCGATGGTATCGTCGATCCGACTGACCATGAAGATACGTTCAGCGCCACGAGCAATCCAGATGACTGACCCTCCTCTTCTACAAGACTATACCATGAGTGAGTGATCAATAGTTTCACAATTGTTCCACGTAGCATTGACTGAGTCTGGCACTTCCTGCAAAGATCTCGAGAACGTGGATCTTTCCCTTACGTACACAATTCCAATGTGCTTGTTCAGGAATGGATGTTAGGTCCTCGACGAACATGTTCTCTGCTGGATGAGGTACTGCAGGTTTTGGAGTTGTTTTTCCCGCGATACGTAATGGCACTGAGGATCTTGGCTTAGGAGCTGGTGCGGATGATTCCTTTTTCTTGGTATCTACAGAGGAGCCTGGTTGCTCCTTCTGCAAGGATTCTCGCTCTTCAGGCAACAGGAGGTCGATTCCGGGTTTCCCCGGAGGGATAGTCTCATCCTTCCTGAGCTTCGTCATGTTAACCTTGATGAGTCGAGTCCCAAGATCAAGTCCTACCATTGCTCCTTCAATGGAAATGACTTTTCCTTTTAGCCACATTCCTCCCTTGCTTCCATTGGAACGAGTCTTGGATTTGTCTTCCTGCCAGTAAAATACCTTGTCCTTCACCTGAAGAGGCTTTGAACTCATTCGGAGATTTTGAGAAAGGTCTCGTCGGATGTCCTCGGATTGACGTGCTTCTTGGAAAGCTTGCTTTGACAGCTGCTTGATCTGGATGGCTGTCATCTCTTCTTCATTCCTGTCAATCGTCAACTGAGTTGGAGTTGCGACATCGAGTTGGATGAGATCTGCTGGTCGTCTTCCGAATGCGAGCTCCAATGGAGTTACTCCCCCGTAGGTGACGGTCTGATTCCTGACAGTTGCAGCGGCCTTCACCAGTTGCCTGTAGGTCACTTTCTTCAGTGTTGCAGGTGCAGTGCCTGCTTTGATGGAACTCAGCATGATCTTGAGTTGTGCCTTCAGGAGTCGAACTGCTGCTTCAGCTCGATTTGGCCATGGTGTATTCGGTCCCAAGATATCGGAGTGATGTCAAGGGACTGATAGAAATGTTCCCATGTATCTGTCATGAAGGCTTGATCTGCGACAACTGATTTGGGCTGCAAGTGGTACTGGTCAAAATAGTTCCTGAGGACAGTGATGTTCTCGACTTCTTGCGTAGTTGTCACTGCCTCTGCAGTGAGCAATGTTGTTGCTCCATCCAGTTCCAAGAGGAACTTGACAGTGATCAATGAATGTCATGTCACCAAAGGTGTCCGCTCGAAGTCCGCTTGTCTTGCTTCGTGATGGGTGCATGTTTCGCCACTTGGCAAACTTCGCACTCACTTCGGATCTTGTCAAATAGATCGAATGTTGATTTCGGCAAATGAAGTGCTCGGGTTCTAAATCGAAATTGATCTGTCGTCATGTGATGATGCTGCAGGTGGAGTTTCTTCAATTCTTCTGGATTCGACAATCGCTTGTGGATTCTGCCTAGGGCAAGCGGAAGCGATGTTGGTTCTTCTGAGGATGGTGCGAAAGGATCTGGCTCAATAGTCGACCGGCCCCTCTTGTCGATGATCCTGTCTGCTGCCGATCCTGAACCTGCTTCTACGTCCTTCAGCGAATTGTCTGAGAAGGTGAAAATGGTCTTACCTATCCACAGGTTAATCATCGGTTTATTTGCCTGGGATGTAAGTCTCCAATTGTCTTCCAAGATATCTGGATCTCCACCTGTGGATGCATCAATGATCTCCGTGGTACGTTCTCGGCTGATGTGATCAGGATTGATTGGACATTCCTTGGCTCCATTTGGTGTGAACAGCGCCTTTCGGGGCGTGATATGCACACGGATGAGCTGCTTGTTCTTCTTGTCAAGGATCCAATGGTCCTGCTTTTGAGATCCAATGATCTTAGGAGCTGCTAGGTCCTCCTTGGTCTCGGATGATTTTGCTGCACAAGCAGTTTCGCTCCTGGTGAGATCCCCGGAGGGAAACTTGATGCTGTTATCATCTTCATAGACATAGTTGATGAGGCCCTTGTGAGCAATTTCTCCATGCGCCTTCACTCTTGCAACTCCAGCGAGATCGACGAGTGCATGTCCTGTACCGGATACTGGAACTGCTTGACGGTTCATGCCAAAGGCCTTGCATGTGATCTTGTCACATTGAGGTGTGTGCTCGATGGTCATGTAGAGGTTCCGCATCTGGCTGATGCTGAGAAGGATCGGTACAGTTCCTTGTTCAAGGACGTCGATGTTGGTACTGCATGGAGGAGTTGTGTGATATCGAAGATGCAGGGTCCAATTTACCCTGGCGGTCTCTCCGTTTGCAAAAGTGAACTTGGTCTCGGCCGGGATGTACTCATAGGAGATGATGTCCTTCATTGGTTCGATGGCCTGGGTAAAACGCTGGATTGCATGCCAGCTGCCCATAGATCTGGTACATCCATTGTCCAGAATCGCATAGGTCGGGTTGTGCTGAGGGTTGATGACAGGCGCCATCAGCTTTGTTGCCAGAAGGCTGTGATTTGTTGTGACGGACAGATTGTGTTCTGAAACTGTATCTGATTGGATCAGCTTCTCGTGGATGGCCTTTTTCCCAGGATGCTCATATGCATCATGGAATGCCATTAACGCTTGTCCTGTGCTGGATGTCTCATGGGATGAGTACCAGCCATGTTCGTTCCATGTCCATGATTGATCCCAGTCTTGGTCTGTCCAACCGGCATAGGTAGGCTCTATGGATGGTGCAGTCTGCTGGATGGCGGGCTGCTCCTCCGTCTTCTCTGCGGTGGCTGCGAACGTCTTGGATTTTCCTTTTTCCTGTCCGCTCTTTCCTTTGCCACTCTCATAGGATGGATAACCTTTGTTTCCATCATAGGGATATTGGAATTTTGATTTTCCTTTCTTTCCCTTCTTTCCTTTGCCTTTTCCCCAATGTGCCTGGTCGTAGGGATCATAGTTTTCGTTGGCCATATTGGCCTTTCCGCCAGAACCGCTTTTTCTGAAGGGTTTGAAGCCACCTCGTTGGGGACTGCCCTTCTTGTTTCCTGATTTTCCTTTCCCTTTTCTTTTCTTGAACTTGAAGTTCCGCCCCGACACTTTTCTTGCTATGAACGCATCGTTCTCCTCGAGGACCCAGAACGTATCTTCATCGTTGTTTGACATGAATCCTTCAAGTCCTTCTTCATCCTCAACCCAGAAGCCTTCTTCTCCTTCATATGCACCTTGTTCGATGATGAAGAATGTGTTGCTTCGGCTGCCTCCTTGAGGTCGGATGGATGGATCTTGGATCGATGTCCTCGTTGTGATGAAGAGTTCATGGTAGTGTGTCTTCAGCATCTCATAGGAATAATTCTCGAGTGAGATGTTCCTCAATGACATTGCGCTTGTGAGTCGTTCTCTTTGTTGATCTGACAACTCACTTTGTATAATGAAAAACTGTGCAATGAGATTATCCCCGAAGGGAAATGCGTCCCGCTGTCTGTCCTGCATTCCTTGGATATATTGTCTGAGGACTGTAGGATCGTCCTCATTTGGCAGGGCTGGAGGCGGTGCTCGAGCACCGGCTGCTTGCTGATGTCGAGCAATTGTGCCGTAAAGATTGGCATCAGGTCCATCCATGCTGCCTTCAATCTCATGAGAAGGATTTCGAATTTTGAGGTAAAAATGAGGAACTCTTGGTTCTGCCTTCTGTGGTTGAAGAAACTGAGGAGTCTGTACAGATACACGTTGGTCGCACCTTTCAAAAAGTACTTCTTCAGCGTGTTCTTGAAATAGTTGACTCCTTCATCAGGATCTTGCAAAAGGTCATTTTGGAGGACGGCCTTGTACATGTAAGCATCTCCAGTGAGTCTGCTCTTAAGCAATGGACCTCGCTTGGCTGCTTCTACTGTGGTGATTGTCACCCAGTCGTCCACGAGTTCTTCATACCTGAACCAGCTGACTTTTCCGTCATACGATGGCGGCTGCTTGGCGGTCATCGATAAATTAAGTGTTTCCTCCGTGTAGCTCGGCTTTGCCGAACTTGTATAGGCTTCCATGAAGCCTTCTCCATCTGATGACATCTTCCCTTGGATCTCTGCGGAAAACCCGCTCCGCTACCACAAATTGAGGCCCACTGTCCCAGGTGCCTATCCCTGGACAAAACTGGAACCCTGTAGTAGTTGAGGTTGTTGTTGGTCCCTGGATTCCCCTGGATGCCAGTAATGGATGATTGGAGGATGGATTGTCCCTGGTGGATTGTCTGATGGATAATCCTGTAAGCGGCCTTTTGTCCTCACGCTCGGATGGTCGTGATTATGCAAAAGGCAGGGGGTAGGGGGGTAGGGGGGTAGGGAGGCAGTAGGGGGGAGGGGGGTGGTAGGGGGGTGGTAGGGGGGTGGGGGGGTGGTAGGGAGGGGGTTGGTAGGGGGGGTGGTAGGGGGGTGGTAGGGGGGTGGTAGGGTAGGGGAGTAGGGGCTCAGGGGGGAATTAGGGGGCCAGCAAAAAAGCATACGGAAGGCTACCGACAGGCTGCAGCGAAACAGTTTTTCGGCAACCCTCTTACGTGGAGGCCTCGCTGATTTCGGTGCTGGTGGAGTTTGTGATCTACGCCACGCTGGCGACGGCCGGGTATTTGTCCTTCCGGGGCGGCACGGAGCAGGACGAGGGGGAAGGGTCGGACGGGCGGAGGGGTTGGGAGGCGAGGGTCCGATGTTTGGGGAGGCGAGGCAAGGTTCTAAGAGGCAGGTTACCGCTAGCAGGAGAATTATGCGTGTTTGCACCCGAAAGCAACCCATTTGCGGTCACCCAACCTCCAAATAAACACGGCTCCCCTGTTGTTGGGGAACGCTTTTTGCTGCACCCAAATTTGCAGGGAAGTAGCTAAAAGTTGGCAACCGTGGTAAAACAATCACCTCCAACCATTCTTCCCTCGTCCCTGGATGTCTGTTCAATCCCTTCCCCAATAATAAACGACCCCCCCCCCCAAATAAAGTAATAAAAAAACATCCGGCCAGCAAAGCAATTCTTATTATTTGGGGTCCCCTGAATCTGGAGGTCAGGTTTTTTAAGGTACCTCTTGTAGTACAACCGTAGTATAAAGGAAACGTACTCCGGAAATCTGGCTGAAAAGTCGCAACTTTGTAGCACAACCGTAGTAAAGGAAACGTACTCCCGCAACTTTGTAATACATCCTTAGTAAAGGAAACGTACTCCCGGAGCTCTGGCTTGAAAGTCGCAACTTTTGTAGTACAGCCGTAGTAAAGGAAATGTGCTCCCGGAGCTCTGGCTTGAAAGTCGCACCTTTGTAATACAACCGTAGTAAAGGAAACGTGCTCCCGGTCCCCCTAATTGGGCTGGATTTAAGAAACGTGCTCCCAGTCCCCCTAATTGGGCTGGATTTAAGTACGGGCAGGAAAATACATACTTTAGAATTGGTTTAGCATTGGCTAATCTAGTTTAGGACTTCTGAAACAATTATTCATTCTTAGGGAGACCATTATAAATAGGGGAAAGTGATGAAATGGAGGACTGTCCCAAAGATGCGTGTTTGTGTGTGTGACCAAACTTAGGCTCAAAGGGGCAAGGGATCATCAGGTTTAAAAGAGGAGGGGCAAGGTTGCTTGGATAGATGGACCAGTTGCCCACAACGAATCCTGAGCCCGTCGGAGCTTCGTTTGCCACTGGCTAGCGGGTCCTGCAAATCGGCTCTCGGTCTCTAGTTTGGTGGAAAGGGATGGGAGGGAAGCCCGCGAATGTGCAGCTCAGACCCTCCAGGGAAACTACCTGGACCGACCAAAGATTCAAGCGCAGGACTTCATTCGCAACTACCCCGCGGATGATTGGTGGATGCTGGTGGTGCGGTGCTTGTACTCCGTGCCGGTGGTCTTTGGGGTACCCATCAATCTGGCGCCCGCGGCGGCGTCCATGATGGCCTTGGCAGGCGGCCTGGGCAAAGCCAGGTCTTCCATGGCAGCGGGGGCTAAACGATGCGACTTTCAAGGTGTGGCTTCAACAGACAACAAGGGAGTGTTTGAGGATGCTGCCTTTTCTTGGGTCTTCAGGGTTGGGCCAAATTCTGCGAACATGATTGAAGTCGCCTTTGCTCGTCTTAGGAATGCCAATGAGTCTTGTAACAATGCGCCGGATCTGACTTTTGGTTCCCTGGCACCCGGATTTTATTGTGAAGCTTTCCCAACACCTCAGTATTTCATGCCAACCCGCGAGCCAGAGTTTTCCGTCCACTATCATGCCACCCGCATGTTTGTGGGTAGGCTGAAGTCAACACCCTGCAATATTCTGCAACTTTTGGCCTCTAGGGGGCCTGGTGTGCAGAGGCCCGCTGAGGCCTGGCCAAGTGGATGACTATGGCCTTCAGGGTTTGTAAGGGGCTTGAGGTGGGATGGGGTCTTTCAGAGACCCTGTGCCCACTCACCCGGAACTTCATATGGGTTGAGATTGAATAGGGACTCTTTGCTGGCATCATTCCACCTCCCCGCAAGGTGTGAATACCACGCGTGCCAACCGCAGTGTCCCTTTTTTCCCCCCTTGACATGTTCACAGCATCTACTGCACCTCCTGAATGTCTAGGAATTACACGCGCAGCAGAGCATCTTTTTGGGGTATGCCTTTTGTACATGTCCTTCTCTATCCATATAATGTGCTCCATGCCCTCAACAAGTGCTTAAACAGCTTTAGAAGAAACTAAATAGCATAGTAATACACAACTAACATAACCGACTCAACCAGTAGCTATGCCTTTCAATCCTCAAGAGACCAAGCATTTGAACCATAAGAGAGGCTGGTGTGCGACCTTGTATGTACATCTACATGCATATGTATATCTAACATATATGTACACGTATATATATATATATAGATGTATGTAGTGTTTTGTTAGCTAATTAGTTAGATAGCTAGCTATCTAAGTCCAAGCCTTGGTTTGTTTTCAAATTTGAAAGCACGGTTTTCTCAGTTGTTTTGAGCGCACATCGCAAATCACACTGGACACACGATGCTTTGAAATTTGAAGCAGGTTATTTTGATTTGGTTTGAGTGTCTTTATGTTGTTTGCGCGTGCGTGTGTTTGAGCTTTTGACTAAGTTTTTGCAGTCGAAAGATAGGCTTCCAGATTGCGGTCAGCACAAATGGCACTGGCCTCTTGCCCTACCCTTGACGCGTCCAGCGCTTTGCGTACGGGGCAGTTGACTCATCTGACTCTTTGACACGACTCGTGAGGGAACGATGCAGCGCTCCTCCCAATGGTCTTTTTCCTGGAGCACTTAACAGCCATGTGAGACCTGCGCCGTTTGAACCTTGCAAATAATGTGCAGCTCCTGTCCCTTATCCAAGTGTTTGCAGTTTGCCGGGGCGCCTGCCATGACTGCATTCTGCTTGGAAGGCTTTTTTTGCATTTTGCGGCGGAGTTCCTCTCTGTCCAAAGCAGAGTTAAATGAGGTTGTACATGTCAACCTCGGACAACTCCCCATGATATTGGGCACTAGTTTAGCCTTGGGCAACGCTGCTTGAGAACTGGGGATCGGGATTTCCCAACCAAAACGGTACCAGCAATGAGTAAAGAGGACAGAAAAGAGGCAGAGGTACAACCTGACTAGAGAACTAAATAGTTAAATCCGTAGCTAAACAAGCACAGAGGCAACTACATAACTAACTAGCGCACCAACTTTCTAACTCTCACCAACCACCCAACCAACCAACTATCTAACCAACTAACTAACTAACTAACTAACTAATTAAATAAGCAACTGAATAAATACACTAATAGCAAGCTAACGGAATCAGTAGATAGCCAAACCATACAAAAATAGACAAATAAAACGACTAGCTAACCAAGTAAGCAACTAACTAAACAAAGAAGTAACCAAACAACCAAGGCAGGACCAAAAGCTAAATACGAGTAAAGAAGAAAGCAGCACACTTAACACGAACATTACGCACTAGCTATATAAACAAAGAAGCAATACACACAGATATATAAATCATACAAACACATAAGCAACTAGATAGCTATACAAACACATCACACAATACACATAAAGATGTGCAGTAAGTAAAACACCTATCAATGGTTACATGACTGCAGAAATCGCGAACCAACAAAAATGCAGAAACAAACAAACAAACAAACAGATAACGACAATTCATACACAACCAACAAACAAACTAAATTACTTCGCTTCGAGCAATCCCCACCCTCCACACTCATGAGCTTACGACCGTGAACACGGTTGTGTGAATTCAAGCATGGTTTTCGAGTGGCTTGGGGCCTATGACTGCCCAACAAGCTTTGCATTGAGAGCCTTTTCCACCTGTCTGTGTGTCAAACTCCACTTGTCTGCGAGCCGATCTCGAGAACTCAAACATTGGTTCCGTTAACAAAAGCCAAGCCCCTTGCAAAAAGAAACCCGATGGGGATGTTGCTTGTTCACAGCCCAAAGCAACACAAAAGCATCACCCTTTCCAAGGCTCAGGGCGCACTCAAACTTTCCAGGGCTCCAACATGACATGTAAACCCAACTGTGCGCCGGGCGGGACATTAAGCAAAACCAGACTGGCAAGCTGCTCTGGCGGGACACTGGCGGGATCCACTGGCGAATGCCGGCAAGCCGCTCCGGCTCGATACTGGCCGGATACTCGGCAAGATCCACCGGCAAGGGATACTCAGCAGGACACTTGGCGCGATCCACTGTCGAGCTACTCTGGGATACTCAGCGGGATACTTGGCGATCCACTGCAAGCTACTCTGGAATACTCAGCGGATCCACTGGCAAGCCGCGGGATACTCGGCGGGGCCCACTGGCTTTCTCAGGGGAAGGTACCCTATTCGGGGCAATTTGCGTTCATTAGGTTTTGGGGGGGCTACAGGGTGTTATTCAGGCACCTGGCAAGTTTGGCGGGCCCGCGGCGGCAGTCAGGTTTTTCGCCCCCCCCCCCCCCTGTTTCCCCCCCACGGGATTTTGGGGGGGTTGGTGGCCCAAAATACTTTGGGGCGTACCGGTTCTCACCTTTAGGTTGCTGGTTCCGTTTAAAAAAAAAAGGGACAAGGGAGGAAAGGGGCCAGATGCAGGCGTGTCCAATTTGAGAGTATTGCGTTTCTCTCAAGCGTCGATGGCGTATTGTCATCTTGTGCGTTTTGCATCATTTGGCGGATGCGGCGTATGGCTCATTCAGTCCATCAGGTGGCTGAGCACTGTTGAGCGTCAGAGCCAAGCGTTGGATTCAGGTCATAACTGAACCTGATTTGCGTTGGCAGCCGTAACAGGTGCCGTTGCTTTCAGTTTGAGGGTCAGCTTGATAGTCAGTGCGTTCCTAGCCATGTCAGATGCTCCCCTGGACATGGAACTGGAAGAAATTTTTTCCCAATGTGCTGTGGACCAATTTCATTCTTCCTCTCTCTTGGAGGAAGGCTGGAATGTCAGAAATTTTGCTTGTTTGACGCATGATCCAGGGAATCTGGATGCTGTGATGTCGGATTTGATACCGGGAGCCGAATTGACTCTCTTGCAGAAATCCGCGTTGGAGGCAGCCTTTTTGCAATGCCAGCAGCAGGTCGGTGCCAGTCCTGCCCCGGCTCCTCTGCGACCAGCGGAACCTTCATCGGCTTTGCCTCCGTCCGGCACTTGGGCGGAAACTTTTGCACCAAAGTTGGATCACGAAGTCATTCAGAAGATGAAAAAACAGTTCGTTAAGAACTATCCCTCGGAGCTTGTCAACCCGGACACTATGCCGTCCACACGTCTCCTTTCCTTGGTTTATAATCAGGTTTCCAAAAAGCATTGGGTTTGGATTCCATGGAAGTTCCGGCTTTCGGTATCCAAATCGGAAGAAGTGAGTTCGCAACGGCCAGCCAAGCTACCTCGCTTGGAGACATCTGGTCTTTCGGCACTTCTTCTGGATGATCCTCCCAGTTTGGAGATCAGCAATGCGGGAATGGGCGTCAACGCTATTCGGAATCTGCTTGCGGTCCATGACTATGCGGTGGCAATGTGCAATGGGGCCCATCTGGCCAATTTGAAAGCATATTCCCATAAATTTCTCGCCTTCCTTACACAGCGGGTGGATGCGGACTCTGGCCTCCGGTGTGCCTCGGTTACGGAAAGCCAATCCGCGGATCGGCAAATTTGGCAAACCATCTCGGACCTCATGTTGGAGCGTGAATGGTGTATGGACGAGTGCTTGCATGAGGTTACACACATTCGCCACGACCTTCCCAGCTTGCTACAATTACGACCGAGGCCAGCAAGGCCCATGGCTGGCCCATCCACTCGGTTCACTGGAAAGGGCAAACCGAGTGGCAAGCCCCAAGGCGGCAAGGGCAAAAGCTCGCCTTCTGGCAAGGGCAAGACTCAGATGGGTGACTGAGATCTCCAAGGATGGTCAGCGCAAGCAATTATGCATGCGTTGGCAGGTGGGGAAATGCCAGTTGGGCCAGGCTTGCAAGTTTGAGCATGGCTGCGCCCACCCGACCACTTCGGGAGCAGCTTGCGGTTTGAATCACACTGCGCTGCAGCATCAGTCTACTCCGCACTGACTAACACCAGTGGCATCCTTCGCGCCGGTCGCCGTTGACAACTTCGATGGACAGATTGACGACACCCATGAATCGCCTGATACGGCTTTGCCATGCTCATCTAACTTGGATGACAATGGCCCGCATGCTGATCTTCCTCCACAAGGAGACAATGATACTGCTTTGGAATCTCAGTCTAAGCCTGCGGTTCCGGTTTCACCTCCGTTGGCGACACATCTTCCTTCCCTTCCGGGCTGCAGGTTTTTCCTGGACATATGCTCAGGTGCAACGAGACCTTTGTCCCAGGCGGTCTGGAAGGCAGGGGGTTCAGTTTTGTCCTTTGACATTTTGTTAAATGGACACATGGATCTTTTGAATGATGATACGTATGAGCAGCTGCTAAAAATCGCTGCTAGTGGGCAAGTTGCCTATGGGGCGGCCAGCCCCAGTTGCGGCCATTACAGCCGCCTCAAGTTGCGCAATGACTTTGATCCTGGCCCACTTCGAACTCCAGAATTTCTGTCAGGCGTTCCCAATCTTGGCTCGGATGAGTTGGCCAAGGTTCAGGAGAGCCATTTGATGCTTATTCGATGCGTGGTTATTCTTTCCTTGGTGTTTCAGGCAGGCGGGCATGTTCATTTGGAGCAGCCACCATCCGCCATGAGCTGGCTCGAGCTTGAAGTTCAGCAATTCCTTTTATTGGTCTCAGCATCCTGCACCGCTATTCCGGCGTGCCTTTATGGAGCAAATTGGTACAAATCTTGGCTGTTTGCATCCAGCTTTCAACCTTTGACGTCGTTGGGGGGTCGTTGCCCTCATGGTGCAAATGCTCATGTTCAGATCGCCGGCCGTGTTACACCTTCAGGAGATTTCACGAGCAGGCAAACTGCTTGTTATCCGGATCCGTTGGCCACTGCCTTTGCAGAAGTCATAACCCCTCTGTTATCGGGTTCAGCCGTGGACATTCAGTGGTCCTCTGTTAACTCACTCTTGACTATGAAAGGTGTCCACGATCCTCCCTTCAGTTCAGTGGATGGGGGTGGCATTCACTCGTCGCCGGATTGGAGTCGCGGAGACCGCATCCAATCAGACATGTTGCGGGATCTCCGACAACCTTGGTTACGTCGCATTGTTGACTTGGGCCTTCACCAAAAATTCAATCCTACTTTTCTCAATCAAATCATGAATCTCCCCCCTTTTCAGAGGTGGACTTGCAGCCTTTCCGGGAGGACCTTCAAAGCTTTTTTGCTGGCGCACAATCAAACTCCGGATTGGAGTATTCAACCTCACCAACCCATGGCGTTGCGCATTTTATCCAGCCTGAGTGCTATTTTGCAGGATCCCGATACTTCTCTGTTTGACAATTTGATTGCTGGGGTTCCGACAGGTTTTGGAAAGGACATACCTAGGTCATACTGCTTTCCGGTAAATGATAAACCGGTCGCCGCAGATGTGCCTTTGACGGCACACTTGAGCAATTGGACTTCAGCCGAGAACGATCTTCCTCTCACTCGTCAGCTTGTTGAGGAAGAAATCTCACAAGGGTGGGTCCTACCATTTGATGGTGACCTGGCTGCGGCTCAAGACAAATGGCCAATTGGTTTGTCCTTGGGCAAACTGGGGATCGCTGCTGTGGAAGGACGTGCCCCGCGGTTAGTCCTGGACAATACCATTTGTGGCCTAAATGACAGGTGCCGCATTCCTGAGGCTTCGACTCTCCCATCAGCAAAAGATGTCCTTTGCAGTTATCCCATTCGCAACTCACAGTCAGACGTGATGGCCTTTTCCATTGCTATTAAGGCAGCCCACAAACGAATTGTCCTACGTGAGGAAGAATGGGGCCTTGTGGGTTTTTCCCTGGATCAAAAGCTTTACTTCTATAGGGTAGCCCCCTTTGGTGCTGCTTTCAGTGCGCACTGGTGGTCGCGGTTGGGCGGATTCTTTTTGCGCCTCTTTCATTACTTGCTTTGGTTGAGCCATGTAGGTTTCCTTTACGTCGATGATTTTTTTGCTCTGGCAAGACCATGAGATGATGCCATGTTCCGCGGCTATGATTTGTATTCTGTGCCAACTCACTTGCATTCCGGTATCTTGGAAGAAATGTGAGCTGGCTCCCACAATCAAATGGATTGGCTGGGTGTTCCACATTCATGCAGGTTTTGTGGAAATCCCTGCCGACAAACTTCAGAAACTGTTGACATACATCAAGGACCTTCGGCGCTCTTCACGGACCACCAAGAAACTGTTAGAGAAGTTCATCGGGTTAGCCATGTGGTTAACACAGCTGTGGCCATATATGAGAATCTGGCTCCATCATCTTTACCGCGACTTGTACCAGCCTCCTTTGACCAACTTTTCCATCGACTATGGGGACTGGCTGCAGATTTTTCCATGTTTATCGGACACATTGATCTTCACGTCTCGGCCTCCGGGAACAGCTATTCCCATTGGTTGTCAGCTTTATTCTGTACGACATCAGGTCGTCAATTGCAAGACTGATTTGCGAGACCTGCGACTCTCTGATAAACGCATTTGGATGCGTGTTCGTGACCATCAGTCAACTCGGCGTTCAACTGGTGAATCCTCTCAGCGGGTTCTTTCTATGTTTGAGCAGTGGTTGTTTGCGTTGCGTCCACTCCGGCCTCTGCGACCTAAGCAATACTGGTATGACGATGCAGCAGCCGACGCCTGTGCTGCTCGAAACTCGTGTCAAATTGGGGGCTTTGTGCGTTCTCGCAATATTGGTTCAGTTTGGTTCTCGGAGAGATTTACTCATGATGATTTTCAGGCTTTGAACCTGGACTTGGATGTCAATATGCAGCGCAGTATTTCTTGCTTTGAGGCATTGGCCCAGATCGCTTTGCTTTTCTGTGCTTCTCGACGTTTCCCAGGTCATCGATTTCCGGTTTGCATCAAGAGCTTGAGTGACAATACTGGCGCTGAAGCCGGTAGCAACAAGATGTTCAGCATGAGCAGACCGATGTGCTTCTTCCTGGAGAAGCTATGTCTCCTTGCAGCCATTTCCGGAATGGAACTTGACGTTCACCATATCCCGGGGCCTCTCAATATTTTGGCAGATGACTTATCTCGCTGGGATGGCAGCACTCCCGTTCCTGGAAATTTTCTGGAGCGCGATCGCATCCGCATCTCTTTGAGTGATCTCTGGATATCCCATGGTTCCCCTGCTGTCTTTCCTGCCGATTATTCGCTGCCTTGGGTTTTGCCGACTCGTACAAATGTTCACTGATTAGCCCTCTGCGATGTTTCATTGTTTTTGTTCCCTCTCTCCCACTTGCTGGAAATCCACTCACAGTTGGTTGGGGGTATGTTGGCGACTGAATTTCCCCTGATAGCATTTATGGGGTTCAGATCCATCATTTGAAATCCAACTCAGATCCCTCCTGGATGTCGGTTTTCTGATCTTCAGATTTCGGCAAGTGAAGAAAAGAGAGAGGGGGAACCGCTGTGCAGTGCTTTACATGTCCATCCACCGTTTGCATGTCTCTTTTGAGTTTACGAGTTTCGTGTGCTGCCAACATAAAGACACAAATGAAAGTCCGCGTAGAACCGGCGGGATCCACTGGCGAGCCGCTCTGGCGGGATACTCGAGATACTCGGCGGAACCCACTGGCGAGCAGCTCTGGCGGGATACTGGGCGGGATCCACTGGCGAGCAGCTCTGGCGGGATACTCGGCGGGATGGCAAGCCGCTCTGGCGGGATGCTCGGCAAGCCGCTCTGGCGGGATACTGGGCGGGATCCACTGGCGAGCAGCTCTGGCGGGATACTGGGCGGGATCCACTGGCGAGCAGCTCTGGCGGGATGCTTGGCGGATCCACTGGCGAGCTGCTCTGGCGGGATACTTGGCGGGATCCACTGGCGAGCTGCTCTGGCGGGATGCTGGGTGGGGGGGTGGTGTAGAGGATCGCAATCGCGGATTCCAACATAAAGTCTAACAACCCCTTCCTGTCGGGTGGGGACCCAACAGCGCATGAACTTGATGTAGGTAAACACATGAACTCAATGAATAGCTGAAACTAACTAACAAGATAACTATTTGAATCTTAAATCAGTATGTAATTAGCTCCAGAAGTATATCGTACCATAGATATACACGTAGACTGACGGATGCATGCATATCTCCCCGTCCCCCGCCGCCAAAAAAACCCCGTCGATACTCCGAGGCCACTGGAGCCCCGCTTTTGCGCGGCAGCGCAGCGGGTCCTCGGCGGAGCTGCCCAGCGGCGCCTGGTGGTCCCGGGTGGCGGTGCTGGCGCTGGCGCTGGGCTCCTGCGCGCTGGTGGCGCTATGCTCGGAGGTGCGCGGGGGCGCTCGGGGCCGAGCTCGGCGGCTGAAGGGCGTGGGGTGGGCCGGAGGTGGTCAGTGGCTGTTGCCGGAAAAACACGCGCGCCGGCCTGCGTGACGCGCTGGAGTTTTTTTTTGTGGGTGTTCTCCGCACCCCCAACTAGCGAATATGGAGCCCTGCAGGTCCCTTTGAGATGAATTTGTTCCTCAGAACCCCTCAGCCAGGTTTGCCCATCCCATGGCTTAAATATATTGAAACCATGTTCGATAGAAAAGGGACTCCATTGGGCTTGCTGAATGGTTCGATTGAAACCATGTTCGATATGCTTGCTTTGGGTCTGGTTGCTGCATCACTTGTGCCTGGGCAACCCATGGCTCCCATGGTTCGCCCAGCTGAAACGGAATCAGCGCCTCAGATCGGCTCACCGATCCCCGAGATCACGTGGGGATCCATTTGTTGGATCTTGGGCTTCGCCTATTGGAGGGTTTCCACCAACAAGGAAGTGTTCCTTCGTAAATGGGACATTGGCAAGAAATCAAACCAGGGGTGTGTTAGGATCATTGGCTCAAGGGTGCCGCGTTCGTGAGCATGCGGGCGAGCCCGCTTGAGGCCTTTGCCGATGTCATCGGCCTCTTCGGCGCATGCTTCGGGACGCTGATCTGCTTGGTCTGGCCGCTGATGATCTACATCAAGGCCTGGCGTGGAGGTTTCTCTATTTGCTCGTCTGGTTCGTCACTGGTTCGTAGCTCTTTTCTGTGGGGTGCCAGGGGGAGAGGGGACTTCTCTTTCAACGGCTGAAGGCTTATTCTTCTGCTCTATGGGGAGTCTGATCTGCCTTTCTGCTCCTGCCACTCCCCAAACCCCGAACACACCTACAGGTTTGAGGTATTTTACGTTTACAAGGCTTTTTTGGTGTGTTTTGGGGGTCAGTTGGGGCTTATTTCAGTCTTCCCCCTTTTTGGGTGTGTGTGTGTGTGGGTGTGTGGGTGTGTGGGTGTGCGTGTGTGCGTGTGTGTGCGTGTGTGCGTGTGCGCGTGTGCGTGTGCGTGTGCGTGTGCGTGTGCGTGTGCGTGTGCGTGTGCGTGCGTGTGTGTGTGTGTGTGCGGAGTGACAGAACACCCTGTCACCACAAACCCGTTTTCCATCAGCAGGGGCGCGCAGCACCTTTGGCATACTGCACGCAATGAAGCTATTGCCAAAGGTGGGAAGGGTGCCCAGACGTGGACACCTGTACCTGCTTCAGTGATTCTGAAAGTCTATTTGGCCCCCTTGGTTGCGGCGCTGTTTGTGCTTCTTGTTGCTTCTTTAACGTTTTCGATTCTACCGGAAAGCCAAGCGTCTTGCGAGCCGAAACTCATCGTACTCGAGACTTATCAGTTGTACTCGAGACTCATCAGTTGTACTCGAGACTCATCAGTTGTACTCGAAAAATTAGCATCCTCCCTTGGGAGTTGAAGTGTGATCACCCCAACCTTGGGGGACCCTCGGGTGTACCCGTCGTGTGACCCCGGTCCGGTTCGCCGGAAAATTTGACCTCAACGTTCTTATCATAGACCAGCGGAATTTCACGTTTAAGCAGGAACGAGGTTTCACTAAAGGGAAGACAGCCAACAGCCCATAGTGAAGTCTCACCCACTGTGATGATGAGCGCGGATCGGCTGGTTACACCGCCTCCGGCCAATCATTCACAGTCTTCGACGCCAACCAGTTCGCTGCCTACGGTAAGTGCGGCGGCCCTTGACGGCCGGTCATTTGATGGTCCATCTCCACAGCAGCCTCGGATCATACAATCCCTTCACGGACTGTCGTCCCCGCCTGCCAAGCCATCCACAAGTTGCTCACCATGCACAGCCCGCCGGAAGATATCATCAAGCATTGCACCTGGACCAGTGATCAGCCCCGCTTATACCTTAAGCAGGCCCCCACTACTACTACTGTGGCATCGCTCGTCAAATGGGCCAATCACCCGTCCCGTCTCAACGCCAAAAGTTCTTGGAGCCTATGGCGACCCAGCTCTTGCAGGCGCGTCAACGTTTGCCAAAAGGAGATGCACCTACGTTTGCGGCCATGGCGTCTTTGTGGGGACTGGAGCCCGGCTACATCACCAAGCTTTCGGACAAAGCGCTCTGCCTCCTCATCGTAGCGGCCCGCCTACTCACCGGGTGAAGTGTTTCTGCCTCTTGAGTATTAGCCCGGAGTGGCGATCGCGCGGCAGGGTGATTTGCGGTTGAAAACCTGTCAGTGCTTGACTTTTGACATGGCTTGTCTTGCTTGCTTGAGTGAGTTGCTTGTCTCATCTTGCCTTGAGTATTGCTTGTCACTTATTATCTCTTTAATGCATGTCGCCGCCTCCTTGCAGCTATCCTTGGTTGAACATTCACCATGTGGACTGAACTTCGACACAGTGGGATATTTGACGACGTTGCACAATGGCATTCCTTGGCTACCTTCCTGAGCATGTTAACGTTTTTCTCTGCGTGTTGGCAGTACTGTTTTCCAGGACTTCTACCACCTTCCTTGAAGTGCTCACCATGGTTCGGATTGCACTTCAAATTCCGATGTATTCCGTGTCGCGCTCCCGTCACACTGTGGCCAACAGATATGAGCTTCACAGATGTCGGATCACCTCGTATCTGCTGATTTGCTTTTTGCAACGACTCATTACACAAAACCATGGTTACATTCCGTCGTTCTTCGAGTTCCTTCACTTCTGCAAGACGTCCTTGCTGTGTGAAGTCATGCACTCCACCTTCGCGGATATGAAGCACCTTCGATCCCTACGGACTCGCTTCCCGGACCTGTATGACTGCATTCAGGATCCGGGCCACCATCAACAACCGTGCGTCTATATCAGACTCTCACCATGGCATAGCCCATACTACATTGGTGCTACAGAACAGGATGTTCTTCGCAGAGAACACTCACGCAGCCGCAAATATCTACAGCTTCTGCTGGGACAGCATGCCTTCTTCGAACCCGCACTTCACTACTGGAAGCGATCCAACAACTACTGGCTCTACTGTGCCATTCCAGTTGAGATCAAACTTCCCCTTTCCTCAGTTTGGGTCCAGGAAAGCAAATGGCAGTACATGCTACGTCCACATCTAAATGCTCCCAGGGTGCACAGACTTCTTCGAAAGATTGGTTTCCGCAAACATCTGGTTGATTTTCGCCGTCGTTCGTTGTCCTCACCTACGTCATTATCTCTCCACAAGCGTTTTCGGCGACGACTCCATCCTGATCTTCATCGCCAGCTACGACCGGAGATGTTGGATGACATTCAAGCGCATTATTCTACTCTTTATCAGCTGGGATCCAACACAGGGGCGTCGTTTCAAACTATGCGCGATCTGCTGCCTTTCCATCCACCCAGCTCTACTACTTCCTGCGGCTGTCCACCTTCGTCAACGACTTTTCGCTCCAAGGCGCAAAAGCTCCTCGCCCAGGTCATGCGTAAGCGCCAACTACAGGTACCAACTACCATGACACAACTACTTCTTCCACCTCTACACGTTCGAAATTGGAAGGCTCAGCTTGGAACATGGTTGCAACGTTGGGTTGCATCACATCGTGACCTCTTTCCTTCCTTATTTCTTCCCAAGATCAGGGTTGGAAACTCGCAGTGCTACGTTGAGTGACCGGATCTACAACTACCGCAAGTGGCAGCGCAGATGGACTCCTGAAGCGTCATTTCCGTGTTGCTGCCTTGACATTGACGACTGTAACATTTATCGTGCACACACACTCATGCAGTGTTTCTGGATGAGTTTTCACGCATCAGTGATGATATTGATCCTGACATCATGGCCGCATCCATGAAGGATCAGTATTTGGTGATGTCGACAAACTTCAGCAACGGTTTGACATGCAGCTTCGTAAACTGGCTCGACGTTGGCATGTGCAAAGATCCAGTTTTTCTACTGATTTCCAACCTGTGCTGACGAAGTTGATCGATGAACATCGCTTTAACGTTCATGACCGCGCTCACTGGACTTCAGCATCATTACAACGGACCACTTGTTCCCTGTCTTCGTGGGTTGTAATCCCAGCAGATCACTTTCCTTCACGTGCTCATGTGATTTGCCCATCGTTGTTTGCCATGCTGATGCGCAAGACTCCTCATCCTAGAGTCCACACAGTCATGTGGAACTTCTCGTCATTTCAGGACTGCTACCCCTTGACATCCCCAGGGCCATCATCGTGCCAATGCGACGCCTGGCTAAAACGTCAGCCCTGGCTATCCCATGTTCAAGGTCATGTGGCAGCGGGATTAGATGAGTTCCGGTTTCCTGGAACCCCCCATCATGTTCACTACACTTCAGCACTGGCGTCGTATTATGTGAACTTCGCGGTCTACGAAGTGCAAGTTCATGAACGCTTACGGAAATGGTGCTTGCATCACGGACTCCCCCTGGACCAGTTCCACGAGACTCTCATGGAGCACCTACGCAGTCAATTCCAGCAACATCGGCAGCACGCATCCACCTATCAGCTCCTTACCAAGCATCAACTCAACATCCTTCATCGACACCTCGGCCAGGACTTTGTATGCCACAACGAGGATCACGACAACCACCACCTCATGTTCTTCTGCCCTCAACTCTACTTCAAAGGCCTCCACAACAGTAACACCTGGCTTCAGTCCGGCACCTTTGCAGCTACTACACTGAAGCCCGATCAAGCCGGGGCCCGTATTCTTGAAGCCATTCTGCGGCACCTGCAGAAGCGTACAAATGGGCGTACAGGAAGAAGACCACCTCCATCCCGGTTGGAAAAGTTTTTCTCAAGCGCAAGAAGCAATGGAAGTCGGGGCGGGCCATTATAGCCTACCACAAGGTGGTACATCGGCAGCTCTTCAAAGCAGTCGCAATCCTTCTTGGCGAGATTGCAGCCGACACATGGAAATGTTCATGGGGGATACACCCCACACCGAGGATATGGCAGAACATCAAGCAGTACTTTGACAACACAGACGATACAGTCACCCTTGCCTTCCACAATGACGATTTGGTCGGATTCTTCAATAGTGTCCCTCAGGATCAAGTGTGTGCAGCAGTTGAGCAGCTATCAGCCGAGCACCAGCGAGGGCGACCCAGTCTCGTGTACTCAGTGGAAACCCAGGCAGCTGTCCACTACAATCGAGTGTTTGCGGGCAAGCAATCCTGCGGACGTACACCGACCACGCGTGTCATTCACATGGAGGACATCCTAGCCATCGTCAAGTCCAGCTTCCAATGCATGTATGTCCAGGTTGGAACTCTCATCCTGCGCCAAGTCCATGGTACAGCGATTGGCTCTCAGCTGAGCCCAGTACTCAGCCACATATGCGTCGCGAGGCACGAAGTCATCTGGCAGCGTATCTACGGACAATGGTTTACCAGTCACAACGTCTTTTTGGAGCGATATGTGGACAACAGATTTGTCATCTTCCCGTCTCCAGCCTCAGGTCACCCGGCAGCCCCATTGGAGGCACTGCTCCAGGCTGACTCTTACGGCGCTCCCATCGTGCTGGAACAAGTGGGGTCTTCGGAGTTCCTCGGCTTCGTCATCGATGTGGGCGACCGGGCGATTTACTACAAAACCCCAAGCAAAATCTGGCAGATAAGAGGACCGCGCACTGCAGGAAGCCTCTCCACCCTTCTCTCCGGGGCCAGATCACGGTCAGCCCTCGCCACCAAGTATGCGCACCCAGCCAGAGCAGTACAGATGGCACTGGATCAGCTCCGCAGTGTTTATCTGTCCGCCGGCTACAAGTTAGCTGACCTGCAACACCTGTTTCATCTTTCGGCGATCCCGACCAGAAAGAACCTTTAAGCGCCAGTTTGTCGCCGCTTTTGATGTTAGGCTTTGTGGCTCTCCTTTGTCTCTTTTCGGTTTTTCTCCGGGCCTGTTTTGGCTCGTCTTGGCTTCTGCGCTCTTGCGTCAGTGTTTCTCCTTGGTTTTTGGTCCTTGATTTTTGTGTTGATCATGGAGCTCACGCACTGGTTCAAACAGTATTGGCCTTCTCGCCGATCTCAGAGAGCTGTCGCCATGCTCGGCCGCATGATAGCGCTTCATCATCGTATGACCCAGAACGCTGCGGATATGATGCAGCTCATCCAGGAGACCTTGAATCAAGCTGACGAGGCACACAGTCGCCGGCACCATGACGGGCAAGGTCGCTTGCAGCAACAATATGCCCACGGCTGGTCGCTGGCCGAGCCATCGCGGCCACGCGCACTTGCTCCTGCTGGAGTCGATGAGGCCAACCCACCTGGCCCGGTGATGCTGAGCTCGGTCAACCCGGCAACCCCGACCGACCCTCCGCCACACGTCGGCTTCCAGTCACTCCAGTCACACGCAGACCACAGGCAGAACGTGGTGGTCAACCCCAAGTCGCTGTCCTATGGCATCATCGCGGGGGACACCAACGATTCTATAGACCCACGCTTGAAGAGCCCCATGGTGCACGATTATGTTGGCCAGCCGGGCATCAAGAAGGCCAATATTCCCCGCTCCATCATGGACAAGAAGGGTACTGATCGACGCAGAACAAAGCGGAAGAGATGCCGAGCTACATCTTCCGAGAACACGAACTCCCCGGAACCTCCGGCACGTCCAGCGCCTCGCACTCCAGCTCCAGCTCCGGTCTCTCCTTGCGCTGGCCTGTTCTCCTCTCCTGAATCCCTTCCCGAACCTCCTGCTCATGCTCACTCCGATGCCGGCAACCCAGGAATCCCCCCGGAAGTACCTCGTGCCTGGACAGAAGAAGATGACCAGCAGCTTTGCAGCCTGAAAGCGGACAGCCGGTCCAAGTACTCGTACAAGTCACTGGCCAAGAAGCTCAACCGGTCCATCGCGGATGTCACGCAGCGCTGGAAGAGCCTGGAGCGCCTCAGGAAAGTGCTGGAACAGAATCAGAAGGCCACCTGAACTTAGCCACTGCAGCCACATGTCAAAATGCCCGCAAGTAGGCGAGCGCAGGCAGGAGTTAAAAAAACAACCAAATTACCCATCGAGAGTCATGATGGAGGCGGCTTTCCGGTTTTTTGGGTTCCGGGTTTCGGTTTCTGTTTCTCCCCCTGAGGGGTGTGTGTGTGTGTGTGTGTGGCCCCCCTGTTTCTAAGGGGTTCCGCGGCTGTGTTTCTTTTTGGAGTCGGACGCCATGATCAGGCGTGTAGTAGTCAAGCAGGTGATGGCGTCCCTGAAGAGGAAGCTTGCTTGACGAACAATGTCCTGACTTGCTCGGAGCCGAAACTCCACTCTCCACTCTTCACTTTCCAGTTGCTCGGGGGTGCACCATGGCAGTTTCGCCGTCTCATATCAAGTGTGTGTGTGTGTGTGTGTGTGTGTGTGTGTGTGTGTGTGTGTGTGTGTGTGTGTGTGTGTGTGTGTGCGTGTGCGTGTGTGTGTGTGTGTGTGTGTGTGTGTGTGTGTGTGTGTGTGTGTGTGTGTGTGTGTGTGTTTGTGTGTTTTTTTGGCGGGTGCAGCGGGGCGGGTTCCCTGGGAGGTGATGAAGAACTTGCACTCCCGGGCCCTCTCCACAGTGATCATCGCCGCGCTGATCGGCGCGGCGCTACTGGGCATGGCTGCCTTCGTGGAGCAATTCTTTAGCTTTGTGTCCTGAAGCGAGGATCCCACCGAGTCGATCCCGCGGATCGATCCGCGGATCGATCCCGCGACTCGAGTCGCGGAGTCGAGGGCTTCCAAGTTGGAGTCTAGGTTTGGATGCTTGTTTTTTTTTTTTTTTTGGGGGGGGGCTGGAGTCCTGAAAGCGGAAAAGGGGCAGGAAGTTGAATTCACAGCGCAGCGCCATCCAAACAGCTCCAGCAGGAAGCGCCTAAGAATGTAGCAACCACGGAGGGCCTCTCAGCCGAACGTTACAAGTTGTAGTTTTATTGGAGCTGAGCGGACACTTTCAACTTTTGCAGGGGAAATCCAGTGACGTCCGTGCAAAGTCGGCTGGTCAAAGTATCGAGGCCTCACAAGAGCTTGTTTTGTGGCAGCAGGTATGACCGTGATGCACATTTTCCTCGGAGGACCCTTACCTTGGCTTTGTCAACTGTTGACGGTTGCTCCCAGTGACACGGCCCAGAATGCGAGGGAAGCCGGCGGAGCATGGGCCGGAGGGGAACCAAACGAGAAAGAAGCACATGACGCGAGAGGGGATTCCGTGATCTTCATCGGATCAATCGGTCGGCGAATACAGGTGGGGCATCCCCAAGAAGGGGAAACCACTGCTAGCCCAGGATTCATAAACCTGAGCTAGGTGTCACTGGCAAGATGTTCAGAATCCCCAGTTGAAAAAACAGGGAAACAATTCCTGCAGGTTGAATTCTGGGTCAGATCCCAACCGATGGACGGTCGCATCGGAGCCATTTCGAAGCTCGGTCTGGGGCTGCTTTAGCCCCCCCTGGCTCAAAGTCGAGCCCTGGGGTGCGGGCGTGGACCCGGCGGTTGGAGGAAAGGATCCGCTTTGCTCGGCAGGGTTTGGGGCAGAGAATTCGCCTGGCCACATTCAAAGGCGGACCAAAACGGTCTTTGCGCAGAAGTGGGTGTGCCTCATCTAAGGGCAGCCCCAAGATGGATGGGTTTCCTTTTGGTTTCCCTTCACAACGGGGTCCAAAAAGCGGCGCCCGCGAAAAACCATGAGGCAACCCACGTGTCGAACAGGGGTTGGCCCAACCCAAGGGGAAGCTGATCTTTCAGGTTCTCCCACAGGGGGTGCCATGGCTGTGGGTCAAAACCAATCGGATCCCATTTTGGGGGTAGGTGCACCACAAATTGTAGAACCTATCTTAGTGGGGATTTGGATGTCTACTGGGGGTACGGGGTTTTGACCGATGGCCCCATGTTACGTAGTATATTTTCGTGGGTGAAGCAAGCAAAGGCACCGCCCTTGACCATTCGGTCTGGGGCCCGGATTTTGGATGCACCTGGCATGCGTAAGAATCCGACCTGATGGCCTAACCGGGATGCACATCGGCTCAAGTTCCCTGCGGATGCATGCCCTTTGCCAAGAGAACAACTTCTCAAGCAAGAGAGGACGAAGGACGGCTCTGCCGGAGCTAAGAGAAACGGCAGCGTCACTCAAGATGAATCCGCAACAAGGAATCCACTCAGCACAGAACCAGAGACCGAACGCTTTCTTCATCTTTTCGGTGTAGACGCTGACAGTGCGGTTTTTGCTGCCATGTCCAGCAACATGAAAGTGCCTTGTTTGCACTCCTTTGTGACGGCATGTGGGAGAGAGTGTGGACATCTTTGTGAGAACATTGCCGGAATGTGTGAAGGCCAAGGGCTTGTTTAGAACCGAGTGCATGGTTTCGATCGTTGGCAGGGTCAGAAACTGGGATCCCTTCAACCTGCTGCTTGAGATACTGGAACAGCAAGGGCACGAAACCAACAAGTCCATCTTTTCTGGGGCGCTTCAGGCGTGGCCATTTTCGACTATAGCTGAGGCGTGCAAGTCGCAGGCATCACATGGTGCCGGGAATGCCTCGCCGCAGACCAATGGGTCTGGCCAGAAGGCCCGCCCGCGCACGGGCTTGCACGCCCGCCCGCACGCCCATGCACGCCCACACACGCCAATACACGCCCAGACGGGCCCACGCAAGCCCACAGACACACACACACACACACCTGCACACTGACACACACACACACACACCCACACACCCACACACCCACACACCCACACACCCACACACCCACACACCCACACACCCACACACCCACACACCCACACACCCACACACCCACACACCCACACACCCACACACCCACACACACCCACACACCCACACACACCCACACACCCACACACACCCACACACCCACACACCCACACACCCACACACACCCACACAGGCAAATGCACGAAGTAATGAACGAAGACGTGGATAAATGCAAATATAGATCTAGACAAATAAACACATCATACTAATCATACACACATATACATACATACATACATACATACATACATACATACATACATACATACATACATACATACATACATACATACATACATACATACATACATACATACATACATACATACATACATACATACATACATACATACATACATACATACATACATACATACATACATACATACATACATACATACATACATACATACATACATACATACATACATACATACATACATACATACATACATACATACATACATACATACATACATACATACACACATACACACATACACACGTACGTACATACATACATACACACATACACACATACACACATACACATATACACACATACACACATACACACATACACACATACACACATACACACATACACACATACACAGATACACACATACACAGATACACACATACACACATACATACACACATACACACATACACACATACATACATACATACATACATGCATGCATACATACATACACACATACATACATACATACATACATACATACACACACACACACACACATACATACACACATTCATACATTCATGCATTCATGCATTCATACATTCATACATACATACGTACGTACGTACGTACATAGATACATACATGCACGTTTCATTCTTCTTGACATGCATAATCACGTGGCCATGTTTGACCTTCACAGCAAAGACAAGACCTTTACATCTCTCCCCACCTTCCCGTGCCCCGACTGCGCCAGGTGGTGGGCCCCAACATCCGGGGCAACAGAGAGGACGGATGGAGCAGTGGGGGCTTGTGACAGTTGTTTCTTGAGTGGCCTTGGTTGGGGCTTAGCCCTGGTTGGGCTGTTTGGTTGGTTGGTTGGTTGGTTGGTTGGTTGGTTGGTTGGTTGGTTGGTTGGTTGGTTGGTTGGTTGGTTGGTTGGTTGGTTGGTTGGCAAACACAAAGCGCCTCAACCAGGCGGACTTTCCAATATGCGAGATTGAGGGAGCATTAAAGGTCATGTTCTAACGTACGAGGCTGGTTCTAACCGACCCCCTTTCTTTTCAGGGATGCATTGTTTCAGACAAAGGGTACAGCAACGGAATGGACGGGTACTTTCTTTCAATGACGGGTGAGCGGCGCGGACACGGGCTCTCATGGCCGCCAATACAACTTGCCTGCAAGTTGTGGGAGCCTTCGGCGGGGCTGGGCTCCCAGATCCCAGTTTTGCAGTTTTGATCAAGGTCAACCTCGGCCATGGATTGAAGCTCACCTGGAGCAAAAAAATGTAAGCGACGCTCAAGCGAAAGGCTCTGCCAAGATGGAGTCACTGACCTATGTGCTCAACCTGGGGGGGTGTATTAATTAACCAGGGCTGGTATCAAGGTAGGCTTGAAAATAACATCGCCTTGATGCTCAATTTGGGTGAGTTTTCTTTGTGGGGTGATGTTTCAGGAGGGAAATGTTTGGGCAGCCTTGGAATGGCACCCGGCAGGGGTGCGAAACGAGAGCACTGCCTTTTGGATTCCATGTGAAAAGTGCAGGAGCAAACAATAGACATACGCAACAAAAGCAAAAAAACAACACACACATAGAATGAAGGCCACATACATACACAACCGCACATCAGAAGAGACTTTCCCCATGTTCGACACGTGGGTAATTTCTTTCCCGAGGAGTACCAGCTGGTGATGCACCTGCAGAGCGCGCTGTTTGGGGGGGTCTACGAGGCCAAAGGCCGCAGCAGTGGCCGGGACTTTGCCATCAAGGCGCGAGCGATATCGCTGTGGGTGCCATGGCTCGCTTCGCAAACTCGGACGGCCTATGGGTCGTTCGTTCTTTGCTTTCTTTCTTCTTAAAGCCCCAAAAAGGGTGTTCTTCCAAAAGGAGAGAGGCCTCTAAGGATATTGTTTTAGGGTTCCATGTTGACCTGGATATTTGGGTTGACTCGGGAATGATGATTCTGTCCATGTCTCGTGTTTTGGACTACCCTGTGAAGCCGGTATTCTTTCCAGAGGGGTCCGTGCGGAAGCACGTGACCCTGGACATGTTTCCGGTGGAAACGCTCGCGTTTGAGTTGCTTGGCTCATTGCTTTGCCCTGCTGATGTTTCAAGGCAGGTCGGTGAGACGGGATGCCAAAGGCGCCCCCCTTTTCATCGCCACCGGTGGCCATTTGCGAGGAGTTGGTCGGGCGTGTTTTAAACAAGGGGCCTCAGCCAAGAATAAGACTTCCCCCTTTTGGCCTCCACATAAAATACATGTTTGACCAGAACGCCCTTGCCATGGGCCGATTTGCAAGTGAGGCATTCTCGAGATGCTTTCTGAGTTGGCTCCCCGAAGCAATGAAACGGATCTGGGCAACACCCCGAGGAGGTCTTGCGAGACCCTGCTGTCAGCTTCCGTTCGTTGCTGCATGTGGGGCGGTTTTTTTGGAGGGTACCCTTAAGGAAGCCAAAGGGAAGCCACCCATTTTTGGTTCCCCAAGAAAGGCACACCCATGTCACCCTTGTAAAAGGAAGCCGAAGGGAAGCCGCCCATTTTTTTTGGGTTCCCCAAAAAAGGCACACCCATGTCTTCCCTCAGCCTCTTCCGTCAGGTACTCCACAAGAGTGAGCTCCAGAAGGCTGGGGGGGGGGGGGCTGGGGCTCGCTCGGGACGATTTCTGGGATGGGTTTTGTCCCAGGTTGCCAGGCTCCCCAAGACAAGTAAAACCCGTAGGCCTCGGAAGAAACCAATGTCAACTGCTCACCCCACGCCTGCAGACAGGCTTTGCCCCCACCTGAGAGATTTCTACTTCGCGAAGTTTGCCCGCAAGCTCGACGAAAGCCGATCATCACTTTGTGTCGAAAGCGGCTTCAGAGAGTTGGCGTCCTCACAATCCCGGCTCGATACTAATTGCCCTATATTAAAAAGGATGCTGGCGGCCAGCGATGGGCATATTTTTCATCTAACCCCCCCCCGCAAGTTTGTACAAGCACAAGATGTGCAAAGAAGCCCCTGAACGGGGCGTCTCATAGATTGCCCTTTTTCCCGCAATTCTCAAAGACGACAGGGGCCCGTTTCAAGAGGAAGTTGTGGTCTTCCAGCACCCTTCTGCCAGCCTCCCTGATTGTTGGAAAAGCGTTTTGCTTGTTTGTTTTGGGTGAGACAAGGGATTTTCACCCTGGAGGTTGAGGAGAACAACTCCATCGAATTCTGCGAAGTGCCGCTGAGTGAGATCAAGTTCGCGGACGACGCTGGGCTGCTTTTATGAGGGTCCAAACGCACAGGGATTGGCAAGGCTGGATCCCTCCTTTTTTGCGGTTGTCGGAGTCGGCCCAAGCTGAACATCGTCATTCAACTTATTGCAACTTATGTGCCGGAACGTCAGGAAGCAAACAGGTACACAGATGCACATGCCGGCTTGTTGCTTGCTTTGTCTTTCTTCAAAGGGTATCGGGTTGATACCTGCCTGAACTCGTCATAGGGCTGCGGCTCAAACAACAAGAATTGCACGGGCCCTGTGGAACCCGCGGCACCTGTCTGCTTTTTTGCATGTCCAATGGCTCGCTCCAAAAGTTTGTGGATCCCAGACTTGTTGGGGGAAAAACAATTCGGTGGTAAATGGCATGTGACTTTTTGCACACACCACTCAGGAAGTGAGATGAACATTGCCCCCAAAAGGAGGAGTTTCATCATTCAACTTATTACAACTTATGTGCCGGAATGTCAATAAGAAAGATACACAGATGCATATGCCGGCTTGTTGCTTCCGTTAACTTTCTTCATTTCTCAGAGTTGCTGTCAGGGCATCGGGTGGATACCCGCCGCTCAATTAGACGGCGAAAAACCCAAAGGCACCCGCGGCACCTGTGTGACTTGCTCCCTAAGTCTTTGCCTGGATTCCATAGTTCGGGAAAACATTTGGCTGTGGCTCAAATAAATGTACCAAAATGGCACCTTGGTAAATGGAACCAAAGATTAAAACCTGCGTAACCGTAGCTGTTTAATTTTGAGCTGCACCCATTTCGGAAAACATACTCAGGAAGTGAGATGAACAGTTCAATTGAAACGGTTCACCACAGTCACAACACATGCGCCAGAATGAACAAAAGGGCACGTTCGAGGAGGGTTCACCACAATTAAAACGCATGGGCGAAAATGTTTGTGAGAAACTCAGGGGAGCACCTGCTTTCCAGGGCTCACTGCAGGTTCCGAATGGCAAGCATGTTTACGTGCACGCTCAAGGGAACACCCCAAGGGCTCACGCTGAAGTACATGGGACGATGTCTAGTTACTTTTTGCGCAGTGCTCGAATACTTAGTGGGCCGAAGCCTGTGGAAGAGGGAATTTGTGACTAGCCGGCAAACTGCTTGGCCTTTGCGTGCTCAATGCCGCGCAATGCTGGGTTGCATAGCAGGCGGGGTTCCGCCCCTGACGTGTACTAAAGGGTGCGTTTTGGCCATTAAATCAAGCGATTGTCCAAGGTATCATTTCTGGACAGCTTACCAGCTCACCTGGAATAAACCGCAGAATCTTTTGGGGAGCGCTGCATCTGACAAATGTTGTCCGTTCTGGCTGAATTTTTGGTTCCGCCTTGCGAGCCTGGCTGAGGTGATGCGGGGGCACGAGCCGCTCGACTGTGAAACCCACCTGCCTGGTGGAACCTTGGGGTCTCCGGACCACTTTTAGTTGGACTGCCAGGCCCTTCAGTTTTCGTTAGTTGGACCCTTCTGAGGATCTGGTTTTCGTTTGGTGTCCTTGCAACGGTCCCCCCTGGCTTGAAGAGGGGCTGAAGGCGTGGAGCCAGCTGCTCAGCAGATCTTGAAGTGGATTCGGGGCAGCGGCCCACCTGAGCGCAGGGCAAGAGCTTTGAGCCCACATTCGTGTCAAAGCCGTTCTTTCTCAACACTTGGGTTCTACATGAGGTACCTTCCCACCTTGCTGGTTGGCGCAATTTTCCTCTCAGCGGGATTCTGCTGGATTCTGTGTTGGTGGGCGCAAGGTTAGCCTCCGAAACGGGACACGGGGGTTGATGAACCCTGGGCTGGGAAGATCCATGGCAACCGAAAAAAATGCACATCGCTCGCTTAGGCACGTCATGGAGGTGGAGGAGCACTTCGAGGATCAGCTCTGCGCTCGGACATGGCCCCTCCCCCCCCAGCTGAAAGCTATGGGGGTTCTGACCAGACGGGCTCCGGATTTTTTTCCGGAGCTCTGGGGCTGTGGATGCCTGCGCTTATTTCTATGATGGGTGGGGGGTGGTTGGTTGGGGTCCAACCTATTGGTTGGTTTTCAGGAGAAATGTGAAGCGCACCAACCTTTCTTAAAATGAGATTTTAACCAAGCCAACAAGAGACCCAGGAATCCAAGTTCCAAACCAACCGTTCTCTTGGGACCTTGCGCACTCAAAGGTCGCGGGCGCGGTCGGTGTATCGGTCGCTGAGGTATTGCCACTACTGCGTCTTCGAGCTTTGCAGAGGCGGGACAGGCAGCTGTGCAAGGCCCACAGAAAGAGGCGTTTTGCTGGGAGAGTCACCTGCGACGAAATGGCGGCCCCCCAATCGCGAAAGGCAGCCCCCACGTTTCTTGGCTCACGTTTGTCGGCACGCGTTTTTGCCTGACCGGCGCAGGCGGTGATTTGCTGGAAGCCTTGAAGCAGCCCCCCGGCTTGTTCAGTGTGAAAAGTGGGAACACCATGAGCACTTACAGACTTACACGTTCCGGATCTTCCGCGCCTTTGCGCGGTGGGCTAGCATGGTCGCTTTTTCTTTTTGAGGGTACCCGGGTACCCATTTTTTGGTGGTTGTCTTAAGAGAAACCAACAGGAAGACCGAAGCCATAGTGGCTCCAACCCGAAAAAAAGACCAGCCACCCGTTCCAACCCGTCTCTCAGGAAGCCCATGGGCTTTGATGAGCGGCACGCGCAGTTCTTGATCCGCCAGGCAGTGCCCGGAAAGCTTAGGGATCGAGAACCCCTGGCTTAGAGAGAACACAAAATCCGGCCCGGAGGCCCGGAGGGCCCCGCCAATCCAAACCAATTTGGGGCAATCTTTGCCAGATGCTGTCTTGCTCGCCCCGCCCGAACCACAGGACGAGCTGCGAATTCCGATTCGGGCGCTTCCATGGCCAACCGTGATGGATGACGCCCAGGAATTCCAATTGAGCTGCGTTGACCCCCTCATTGGCCATGTTAGTAGGTGGTCCCAGCTGGTTTGATTGGGGCTGAACGTCAGGCCTATATAATAGCTTGCCCGTCTGGGTGTTGGGTGCTCAAGTGGCCGAGTTTTCCGGAGGACTCGCTAAATCGTCCGCAGGCGGCAATGGGCCTCACCTTCATGCATGAACGAGGCGCCCGGATGTCACTGGCGCTTGTCCGGCAGATTGAATGGCACCGGCTCCCAGCACTTCCTGCACAATGATTCTTGGAAAGGGGTAAGCAGGTGAGGGGGGAAGGCGCCATTTACAATCTGGAGGTAAGGCGTCGCAGTTGTTTTTTGCGGAGGAGGGCTGCAATTTGAGGAGACCTGTTCCCAAGCATGTGCCCAATGCAGCCACAAACGGGACTTCATCAAAGTGAACGTCGCGGTTTTCAAGAACACATTTGAGCCGGACTCAATATTCCCAGCCTATTTCTTCCAGGGGTTGATTCCCCACTCTTTTCAAACATCGTTCTTTTCAAAAGCCAGCCCCTTTTTCAGGGTTTTGGGCGGTCTCCTGGGAAGCGACCCTATTTCTTGTTTGTCCCTCTCCGCCGTGGACCTTGCGCGAGTTCGAAGCCTCGAAGTGGGTGGCGCTCCGCGGTTCGCGCGGTTGACCCGGAGCCAGGCGTGGCCATGCAGGACGTGTCGCTGGAGAACATGCTGCTGAATGTTAATCCAGGCGCTGCAGGGGGCTGGGCTTCAAACGAATACAGCAAGCTGAGTGTCTGGGCCGAAAATGGACTTGCTGTTAAGATCGAAGGACTGTTTTTTCTTATTTTCCCCTTTGACTTTTTTGCTTGTTTTTTTTTGGGGGGGGGGGCTTCCTTTTGAACCATTTTCTTGGGGGGGGTCAGTTTGGAGCCGTGACTGCGATGGGCCCAGGTCAGCCATTGGAAACATTGACCTCGCAGCCGACTTGAATCCTTGTGTTGGTTGCGTTTCGGATTTCGAGTAGACGCCACACATTCAGTTGGGGGCGTAGATAAAACCGTTTGCGCTCCTTGAAAGGGTTAGCGTGTCAGTTCCAGTGGATTTGGGCGTAGGCCCCGACTCCTTTCCGCCAGGCAACGGCAACTGGCAGGCGAGACGCGGGAAGGAAGGGTCCAAGACGGGCCTTTGGGATTTTGGGTGCGGCCGAAAGCATCAAGCATCGTGAGTCTTTTTTCAGTGCACCCCTTTTTTGGTGCAAGTCAAGGGAAAGCAAAAGGACAATCCAACCATTTTGGGTCCCCGAAAAGAAGCACACCTAACTGACGTGCCACCCCCGCCTTTTGGATGTTTTCTCTCGCGCCTCGGTGTCAGCGCGGGAGGTGAAGATCTGCGACCCGGGCCAGGCCGCGCTTGCGCTCGGCTTCCAGTTGCGTCCCAAAAGGTCCCAGGAAGTTTGAGGCGCATTGCTGGAAGCCTATAACAAAGGCTAAAGCATCCTGGGGAGTTAGGGTAGTGGTTTGGACTTCATTTGGACTCTTCGGTGGACATGTCCAATACAAGCTACCCAGATTTCGTAGCCGTGCAGTTCTGGGTTTGGCAAAACATGAGGGAAGCCCTTCGAACATGGGTTCTTGTTCATCCAGCCAACATAACATTGCAAAACACGTATTGCAAAAGGCTTCTCGACAAAATGGACCAGCCAAATCGTTGGAGCTTGTTCCCGGAACCCGCTCACCCTCCAACAGAGTGTTGTTCTTCCAAATGGCAGTGGGTCAAAGATAAGGGGCATGCCTTTTTTTCAACCTTGGACCCTTTTTTTTCAACCTTAAGCTTTTTTTTCTACCTTGTCCCCTTCTTTTTCAATTTCAGGGTCGGCACTTCATGTTTTTTCAACCTTGCCACACTTTTTGTTCACCTTGTTTTTTCTCTGAATCAACCTTGATTGCATTTTTTCCAACCTCCCCACCTTTGTGTTCCACCTTGATTCCTTCTTTTCGAACCTTCCCATCCCCTCAACGGGGCATGGCCCGTCACCCCCCCCTTCCCCTGCACCTTTTTTCTCTTCGCAAGTCTTCCCCTGCGCCGGGTTCCTTTTCAGCCTGGAAGCTATCCCCTTCGCGGGGCTCTTCCCCTTCGCAGGGCTCTTTCCCCTTCGCGGGGCTGCATTCCCTTCGCGGGGCTGCATTCCCTTCGCGGGCTCTTCCCCTTCGCAGGGCTCTTCCCCCTTCGCAGGGCTCTTTTCTCTTCGCGGGGTGGCATTCCCTTCGCGGGGCTCTTTCTCTTCGCGGGGCTCTTTCCCCTTCGCGGGGCTGCATTCCCTTCGCGGGGCGCTTCCCCTTCGCGGATTTTTTTTCTTCGCAGGGCTCGGGCTGCATTCCCTTCGCGAGCTCTTCCCCTTCGCGGGGCTCTTTCCCTTCGCAGGGCTCTTTCCCCTTCGCGGGGCTGCATTCCCTTCGCGGGGCTGCATTCCCTTCGCGGGGCTCTTCCCCTTCGCGGGGCTCTTTCCCCTTCGTGGGGCTGCTTTCCCTTCGCGGGGCTCTTCCCCTTCGCGGGGCTCTTTCCCCTTCGCGGGGCTCTTTCCACTTCGCGGGGCTGCATTCCCTTCGCGGGCGTGCATTCCCTTCGGGCTGCATTCCCGTTTGCAGGGCTCTTCCGGGGCTCTTTCCCCTTCGCGGGGCTGCATTCCCTTTGCGGGGCTCTTCCCCTTTGCGGGGCTCTTTCCCCTTCGCGGGGCTGCATTTTTCTCTTCTTTGCGGGGCTCTTTCCTTTTGCGGGGCTCTTCCCCTTCGCGGAGCTCTTTCCCCTTCGCGGGTCTCTTTTCCACTTCGCGGGGCTGCATTCCTGGGATGCGCCGGGGGTTTGTTAGAGTTAGTAGGACATTGGGGCAAAGATTTTGTTTACTAACAAATGCTCACTAGTTAGCTAAGGGCTTAAGTTAGGGGGAAAGCTAAGAGGTTAGCCAGGGGTTAGCTAAGTGGTTAGCTAAGTGGTTAGCAAAAAAACATACTAGGTTTATTACATTTGGAGTGATGGTCAAACATATGATTTATTGTTTATTTATTCTGGCTTGTTGGCAGCAATTTGTTTAGACTCACCAGAGCATTTTGAGAAAATAGATAAAGGCTTTGGCAGTGCTGCTCATCATTATGCAAATCAAAGCTGAGCATGTGCATTTATTAAAATGGATAAGCCATATGAGCTCATGATACAAAAGCTCATGCGTGACCAGTCAAGGCAAGCTCATACTGCTCATAAGCATTATTGATGGATCATAAGCCAGGTGGCTACCACGACATGCAATCTTCATGGAACATGAGCCAGATGGCTACCATGACATGAATTTCATTGCGTGTGTCAGCACCATCTTGGTTGTAAGTTTAAGCCCGGCTGGCTACCAAGGACCTGCTCATCCAACAAGGCTTCACCATTCCAGTTAACTGTTTGCAATGAAAGCCAGAGGTTCAGTACTCACATGGGACCTATATACTGTCAAGCTGAGGAAAGTTCATCAAACAAGAAGCCTTGATGCTTGACGATAAAGCAAAAGCAACTTGGCAAAGCCATGGCCATGGCAACAGTAGCCTGAAGGCCTAGCACTTTACATGGCTTGCATGCACAAAAGCCAAGCAAACACCAAGCTTGAATGACTAGCCCTGTGGTTTGCTGACAAGCAACTGACAAGCAACCATTAATTTGTTCAATCCATTCAGCCAACACGCGCCCACCTAGTGCGAAAGCGGTCAAACCCTTTTTGTCCTTGATGCAAAAGGCTGCAAAGTGCGCATGTCAAACTGTACAACTCCTACGCATGACATCTTAGTTCACATGTTAAATGCCAAATTTCATGGGCCAGGTCAGTTCGTTCGGGATTTGGGTGTTTTAAGGTCCTAGAAAAGAATAAGGGTTTTTTACTCAAACTTAAGGGTTTGCCAAAACCAAAAAAAGAAAAGCCCAGATTTTGCAGCAAATCTCAAAGTGTACTATTGATGCCAGTTTCCTCGAAACAAGAATCAATTTGCTTGCTTCCCAGGGGACCGCGCCGTTTCTGCGCGCTAAGCCTTAGGAGTAAGACAGCTTGACGCGCCTGCTGAAACGGGTTTGGGGTCGTCTAAACAGAAATGAGTCTTGGCCGCCAAGAGGAAAGGGCTTGAACTGTTTTCCGGGAATAACTTCACTATGAAAACCGCCTCTTCTGTACGAGCAAAATGCGTTGTGTTGGAGCCCAAATTCTGCTCGTATTTTGGCAGATTGGGCTTGCGTTTGCGGCAATTGCGAGTTTTCACAAAGAAAGCAGCGATCTGCAACAAATCCTGCATGGGCACATTTTTTGGGTTTTGGCCACACACTACAAAATACGAAGCAAAACGTGTTTTTCTTGGTAGGCGTTTCTCAGAGGCCCCAGGTTCCTCGTGAACCAACTCCGAACAAACTCCGAACAAACTTCGAGCGAACTCCGAACTCCGAACGAACTCCGAACAAACTCCGGACAAACTCCGGACAAACTCCGAACAAACTCCGAACAAACTCCGAACGGGCGAGCTCGGAACAAACTCCGAACAAGCGAACAAGCTCCGAGCAAGCTTTGTCATTTGTTGAATTCCGAACAAACCCCCGAGCCAACTCCGAACACACTTTGGCCATAAGCATGCTTTTGAGCCTAAGTATTTTGGTGGTCAAACTGTTTTTGTTGCTTTTTTTTTCGGGCTTACCAAAAGAGGCCAAGTGATTACAGGGGCCAGTTTCAACAAGTGGCCTTGGAAGGCGTTCAGGGCCGGATTTGTAGGACTTCAGAGCTGCGGAGGGCTACAATCGCTACCGGGGTGATCGCGCAGCTTGGTTGACGCTGAGGCTCGCTGTTGAAGCTGAAACAAAGCTTAATCGTTTTTGTACGACCAAAATCCAAAAAGTTCAACACCGAAAAAAAATAAGCTCCAAAAACAAACTTAAGGCCAAAGTTCGTTCGGAGTTCGTTCGGAGTTCGTCCGGGGCAAGAATTAAGCCCCGAAAAAAATAATAAGCACAAATCACAGCCTAAGAAAAAACAAGCAATAAAACAAAACAAAGCCGAAAAACTGAAACTTAAGGCCGAAACACAGAAAAATATGGCCAAAGTTTGTTTGGCGCTTGTCCGGGAAGTAAATCCAGCCCGAAACATACATAACAGGAAAATCAAGTGACCAAAAGAACTAATTTCAACAAGTGGCCTGAGAACATGTTTGCTTGCCTCAACAAACACCTTCCCAGGCCACTTGTTGAAACTGGCCCCTGTAATCACTTGGCCTCTTTTGGTAGGCCCGAAAAAGCCAACAAAACAGCTTGGCCACCGAAATACTTGGGCTCAAAAACATACTTATGGCCAAAGTGTGTTCGAAGTTGGCTCGGGAACAATGCCAAAGTTCGCTCGGAGCTTGTTCGCTTGTTCGGAGTTTGTTCCGGGTTCGCCCGGAGTTCGTTCGGAGTTCGTTCGGAGTTCGTTCGGAGTTCGTTCGGAGTTCGTTCGGAGTTTGTCCGGAGTTGGTTCGGAGTTCGTTCGGAGTTCGTTCGGAGTTCGTTCGGAGTTCGTTCGGAGCTTGTTCGTTCGGAGCTTGTTCGGAGTTGGTTCACGGGGAACCTGGGGCCTCTGAGAAACGCCTACTAAGAAAAAACACGTTCTGCTCCGCATTATGTAGTGTGTGGCCAAAACTCAAAAATGTGCCCATGCAGGATTTGTTGCAGATCACTGCTTTCTTTGTGAAAACTCGCAATTGCCGCAAACGCAAGCCCAATCTGCCAAAATACGAGCAGAAGTTGGGCTCCAACATAACGTATTTTGCTCGTACAGAAGAGGCGGTTTCATAGTTAAGTTTTCCCGGAAAACAGTTCAAGCCCGTTCCTCTTGGCGGCCAAGACTCATTCCTGCTTAGATGACCCCAAACCCCTTTCAGCATGCGCATCAAGCTGCCTTACCCTTAAGTTTTTTTGGTGTTGAACCGAATTCCCCACGCAAATTGGCAATGTTAAAGAGTTCAAATGCATGACTTCTATAGTCAACCTGTAGCGTATTGGGTCTTACTATGGTACTGGGTATTTCTACCATATGGAATGCAGATTCCTTGCACCCCCCTTGGTAGAAATGGCACGCCATGCTATGTGGCTCGGGATTCAGCCACAAAGCTGACACTTCTGAATTGATAGCACTCCCTTGCGACCTGAGATGGCTCCACAGCCAACATCCAAGTGGAACCTATCTCCTGTGCGTGACAAAATCACAGACTCAATCTTCTGGATCTTTTCGTGAAACTTCCTGCTCTGCCAGGTTCGACCTAGCTGGAACAGTCCAACACTGCAGATGCATAGCACCATACTGATGTTGAGAGCCAAGCTAACAAACAACAGCTTAAGGTGCCAATCTGCGGTGTCACCC